GGGGTGGATAAGAAACATACCCAAAATGTCGGCCATATTCCGGCAGTTGGTGAATCTGCCGGTTGGACCATCGGGAAAATCAATTCCATAGGGAGGAAAATTGGCTCTGGCCTGAGTCAAAAGGTCATTGTTGTTGCCATTATCCACCAATGAGTCTCCAAAAATGAAGTAACAAGGGACTTGTGATTCACCACAAATCAAAGGTTTCAAATTCAGAAACAACAACAGTACTGTGGAAACTATACACCAAACATTACACCCACATGCCATTGTTGAAGTCGAAGAAAAGAAAATAAGGAAAGGAAAGTAGGTGGAGAAGAGGAAGGAGAGGGAGGAAAATTTGTATGAGTAGAAAAGGAAATCCGAAGGAGGAAATATATATAGCCAGTGGAATGGAGGGTAGACAAGTTTGAACGATGATGGACTGGGAGCTGTTGAAGGGCCACTTCCTTTTTGCACAAATCAGTAGTTTCACATGGCATAAATATGTGTAAAAGGAAAAGTTGTGTTTCTTGGGTCCAATCAAATGGATTTAAATCCTCTATATTATATATTTTTTTAAGAGCAATAGTACGTAAACTTAAAAATTAGATTTAATAATTTCAACTATTGATTTTACTGTAAATTCCAGTATTTATTGAGATCCACTACCTATTTAATGGTTGAGATTATCAAGTCTAAATTTTAAGTCTAATTTTTAAATCCATCTAGCATTACTCTTTTTTTAATTTTACTCAATGATATTGGTAGATGGAGTGTAGCTAGGCAAGTCAACATATCAAGTTTATATTGGATTTTGACCGATCTGAATCTAAATTTAATTTTAAAAGTTCGATTCGATAATTCAATGAATTTTATTTTTGTGGTTTATATCCGATTCCATTAATTATCTGAAATTTGATCCGATCTAAATAACTTAATTAACTAAATTTTAACAAGTTATACCTAAATTCCTTTAAATAATCAATTAATTTGTTTAATTTTTATATAAAAATATATAAATAATTCGGACCAACTCATAATCGGATTGGATATAGGTATATTTAAATCCGAATCTGTGAAATATAATATATCGGATTCAAATTTAGATTTAAATTATCGATAAAAAAATTATCAATTTATATCCACCTGATCAAATTCAAATTCAGATCAGAATCCAATTTATTGACGGACTTAGCTGTTTGAGTGAGAGAGTATAAACTTTTAGATAAAAGGATGGTTTAGTACTTCTATATNAAAACTGGCATACCATCATCATCTTTGACAACAGCATACTTGATTTCATCTCTGGTTTCTTGTGTGAGATAATTGTCCCACCAACTACGTAACATACTAGTAAATCCTGAAGTGATAATGTCAACAATCTCAGGTTCTTCTTGGTCAAGATTTGTTACGTAACTGTTGATAACCATAGACATATGATTGATCTTATTCAGAATATTATTTTACTTGGGTCATTTCTATCAAATATGAGTTTGATATGAATAGACTGGGTAAAGAATAATATATTTTGATAAAAAGTAAATGTTTTTTCTGGGTCAGATGGGATAAAGTTCCATCCTGGTTCCAAATAAATATTTACTATATCTTTTGGGNTGGTAGGTAATCCACCATTAATGAGGGCAAGATCTATTTGTATATTATGAGTCTCTTTTGAATACATGATAAGTGATCTATTAATAAAGAAATTGAAGAATAAATGCATTAGAAGGATCTCCCGCCATAAAAACCGAACCCTTGACCACATTTCGTAGCCATGTCAACACAAAACAATTACTTGTATTAATGGAGTAGGTTGAATTAAAAATATCATGGNTGACCTGTGTGGGCTAGACAAGCTGACTTGGGCTTAGAAGTTGGGTATGGAACAACTAGTTGACTTAGGACAACTAACTGTGGGCTTGAAGAACTAATTGGTTCTTTTTGGGCCATTTGAAGAANATGGAGTAGGTTGAATTAAAAATATCATGGAGAATTTAGTTATGCTTTGGTAATATTTTTTAAATTATTTTTTTGGAAATTTTTTAAGGTTTTGTTTTTGCACAAGGAAGGTCAATAATATTCCTATAAAAAAACTTGGCGGACTCTCTAGTTTCTTAATTATTATTTTTCTCACTTGTTACNCTCTTACTGGATTAGGTTTACCAAGAGGTTGGTAACGATTAACAATTTGGATTGAGCTTGACAAGACTACTGGGCTTGGATATATATATATGTCACTGGGTAGTTTATTGTGCAACAAACTTTGCCCTTGTGGTAGACAGTGAAATGCTATGGAGGTCNTGTTTTTGCACAAGGAAGGTCAATAATATTCCTATAAAAAAACTTGGCGGACTCTCTAGTTTCTTAATTATTATTTTTCTCACTTGTTACTAGAGGTGTTTAAATTTTCGATAACTCATAAATTTTGATCTTATCTTACCCTATCTAACGTTACNGTTTTTGCACAAGGAAGGTCAATAATATTCCTATAAAAAAACTTGGCGGACTCCCTAGTTTCTTAATTATTATTTTTCTCACTTGTTACTAGAGGTGTTTAAATTTTCGATNTCTGATTTTTCTCCATGGCTGCTACTACAAGAGGTTCCACAGGGTAGTAGACCAGACATGGCATTGTATGCAATTGTTGCGATGAGTATATTTGCAGCCTCAGTAGGATGATATCCATCAAAGTAAATGTACTCGTCGCGATTACTGCATGGAACTTGCTGGGGAATACATTGACCTTTGCCCATAGTAGTCGATACATTGCAGCATGGACCGTCTGCTACTGTAAAATCTGAAATCGAAATTTGAATTTAATTAGTTCTAAGTTATCAAATTCAATAACTTATTGAAAAATAGAAAAGATTAAATTCAATGAGATTTAAAAAAATGGATTGATTCCACTAAATTGTAACTTGATCTGATTAAGTTATGATTTTTGATATGATACTAAAAAGTAACACCCGAGACTCTAGTTATGTGCATTGGTTACACAAGCAGCAAAAAAGGCCTTTTAGCGTAAATTACATTTTGATGTCCTTAATTATGCCTTTAATTATCACAATTCACAAACTATGCACTTGCCACTATTGCAGTTGGTCTCACATTACCCCCCATGACTTGTTACATTTCTCACATTGCACCATTAGTTTCACATTGTCCCATTTGAGAACTTAAAAACATGTTTTTTTTTGTTCAACGGTCAGGAGCATCCGGACCAGCTTACGTGTACCTTGACTAATTCCCTCCCCGATTCGGTCAAAGACAGGTCATCCATGCCGGAACTAGAGTATTTATGAGGGATAAATCTTTAATGACTTGGTCCCAAGGGTTATCAAGATTCGGACTCAAAATGTCTGGGTTTGTAGCTCGTTTTTGTTATTACTTGAACTCTCTTTTGGGGTTATTAAAAAAAAGCGTATTTTACTACACCTATGAACATTTTCTGCCCAAAACACAATGAACGCTTAATTTGGAAGCAATGTGAAACAACTTCAATTAGTTGAGGGGGCAACGTTAGAAAGTCAACAGTTGAGGGGGGAAAGTGTGATTACGTCATAATTAAGGCAACCAAAATATAATTTTCCCATGTAGAAAAGTTGAAATAACATACCATTAGATGGAGAAACCTGGGATGAAGAACCAGATGCATAAATATAGGAAAATTCTACATCAGTTAGCTTGTCCTTGAGGTCATCAACAAGCAGCTCGAGTTTATCATTGAATAGTTGGGCTGCACTGTTCATCATTTCCACACATGAAGATTCATTTGTGCCATAGGTAGTCAAGGCTTCTGGAATGCAACCCAGTCGACCAGCTCCAAAAACAGCTATTTTTCTTGCTCCATACTTGTACAAAGTCTAAAAAATAAAGAAAATAGCAGTAAATACCACCTTAAAGACCCCTTTAGAACATGTAAACAAGAAATTCAAAAATATTTTTTTAAAAAGGGAAATAATATGTATCCCAAATTTGGAACCCAAATTTACATCCCAAATGAAGGGAACCATTAGATGAGTGAGTCCCATCAATTTTTTTAAATCGGACTCATTGATTCAATGACCATCCTTCATTTGGGATGCAAATTTGAGTTATAGATTTGGATTATATAGCATTGCTCTTTTAAAAAAGGACAAGTTACATTTTGACACCAGAAAAAATTAATGCATCAATACCTAAGTAGAGATACGATAGAATCCAAATAGATATTTCATCGATATCTAAGCATGTTAAGATAAATACAGATAACGATAGGAATGTATGATATATTTTTATCTTATATAATTCTCATCCTATAAAAAGGGTTGAGCTCCATGTAATCAATCACATTCAATAATACATCGATGTAGCTCATAGGACGTTAGGTCCATGGATGTAGGCAATTTTCCGAATCACTTAATCCTTTGTGTTTTGTTTTCTATCATTATTTATTTATTTTGTCATCAATCTCTCTTATATTCTAAAATTCTAAAGATCTCACTTTGTTCTAAAACCATACGTCTGACATGTTTTGAACGAAAAACGTCCAAAAGTTTTACTATAATACGCATTTCCAATATATATATTGAGGGTATGATAAATGTAAAAACAATAACCATATATAGTCAGGGATGCAATGCAAGAAAAGTGATAACTAAGGGAATAATATGAAACCAATAACAATATCGGGAGATGAAATTTTATAACTTGATAGTTGAGAGGATAAAAGTGTAATTTATCCTTAGAAAATGAGATAAAAACTCTTATACTACTGACCTTTAGCTGCTGTGAGTATTGTTTAACAAGTACTTTGGCATACTGCTTTGGTGTATATAGGCTGCTCGTTGGGTAAAACTGTGGCATGAAGTAGATGTTGAGATAGTCGTTATTGCCCATTCCAACTGTATATAAGCAGCTGCTTAGGTACTCTTTTGCTAAAGCTTTACTCCCTAGTAAGGTAGCAATGTGCCGAATTGTGATTTTATGATTTGATAACTGTGCATTCAAGCTTATCCGAGCACCCTGTGGGAAGACAACAGAGTCAAAGTTTGTGGGGGGTGTTGCAAGATTGGAGAATGGGTGTATGGTAACCCATACACATCTCATGTTGTTTGGTGAAGTGTGTATGAAGTTTTAATTGATACATGTTATTCAACAAGCATTAAAGCCTCGTTTGATTTTTAGCATCAAAAAAATTCATCGCTGAAAGTAAATAATTCATCAACAAATTTTGAAATATTTGACTACCAACAAAAATATCATCACTAAAAATAGAGAATTAGCAACCAAAACTCAGCTGCAAAAAAATTCATCTGGTTGTCACCAAAACAACCTTCGTAGTTGAAAGAGTTTTGACTGTGGTCACATTTTCTTTTTTTGGTGATGAAATAGTTTTCATTGCTGAAAGCTAGTAAAAGTAAGGACAATTTAGAACCTGGTATAATTTTTTAGATTTATTTAGGCAAAAGTACAACTCAAAAACTTATTTTGGGTAACGTGAATAGTTTTTTAAAATACCACTATTGTCATTGGTAACTAGTAAATATATGGAAACTCATATCTTTCATCCGTTTTTTTGGCTAAAATCAAATAAGAGGTACAATAGGGGGTTTAATTATCAAAACTCATCTTCTTCGACAGGGTGATTGGAATGCCAAAACTGTGATTGTTCATCGTTCAAAAAAAAGAGAAATATGAGTTACTATTCATCATAAAAAAAATGAGGAATTCGAGTTACTGTTCATCGTCCAAAAAAAAAAAAAGAATACGAGTTACTGTTCATCGTGTCCTATGGTCAAGTAACTTTGAATCATCTTTGACAACTTCTTCACCAGAAATTGCAGGTGACATTCATTTTTGTTTTTTTGTCATTCATTAATTGCAAACTGTTAATATTCAAAAATTAACGGTTGAAACTATATTGACACAGTTACACCAATTAAAAACACAGTTACATCCATTAAAAAATAGTTACACTCATTAAAACATAGTTACACCCATTAAAACAAAATTAGTTTTTTTCTCCTTTATTCCAACATCGAGCAAACATAAAACAAAATCGAATACAAGAATTTCATCAAAAAAAATTATCGAATAAAAGAAGAAATATCAGTTGAACACGTTAAAGAAGACTTATCAGTTGAACACGTTGAAGAAGATTTATTAGTTGAACACATACATTTGATTCAAAAAAATAAAGATAACAAATATGTAAAGATTACATATTTGTTTCCTAAAATAACTATTAAGAGATGCATAAATCTCTCACAAAATTACTCATTCAAAATTCAAAAATTAAAAAGATAACAAATATGTAATCTTTATATATTCTTTTCCTAAAATAACTGTCAATCATGGCTACATAAAATAAGGAAGGGTGTTTAAGTAAAAAAAAATTTAATTCATTTGAATTTTGTACATAAACAAAAAAATTTTTATAAAAATTGTATTTAATAGAATAAACCATTTACCCATAAACTTTTGCTCAAATAAGTATTGAAAATTGTTCCCACACCTAAAAAACCCCTAAAAACCTTGGGCTTATTAATTGAAACACCTAGGCCCAAGGCCTGAACACGAGCTAGCCCAATGAGGTTTTAACGGGTTAAAATTCAGCATGGTTCCTAAATGGGCCTTAACTGGGCTACTGGGTTATAGCCCATTGGGATATCTGATCCTAACTTTCATGCCCAACCCACCAGGCTAATGGTCCACCCACGACTCTGCCTAGATCCCAATTAGTCCGGTGGGTTGTCGGGTCGTCGGGCTGCTCATCACGCCTTGAGTATTTTGCTGATCATTAATAAAAACTGAAAAATATTGTGCAATACGAATTCAGGGGATGTTATAAGGTCTGGGGAATACCAATTGTTGTCCGGTTTCATCTCGAATTCCAACTGACTCAGATCCATAATTCACACCTTTGAGAATATCCTGGCCTCTTGCAGTTGCAAATGGAGGAATGTAATCATCAAAGCCTAGAAGTTCAGCTGTGACCATTGAGTGTTTAATTTCAATCAGTATCATAGTTATGGCTATCAACTACTACCATTAAACTTCAGCAACTTCATGAAGCATGTGACTTATATGTAAAACCTAAATATCAAAGTTGCAGTTGATTATTTAATGATTATTCTAGTTTTAGTAGCTTTGAACTGCTCACTTCACCCTTAAACTATTGAATTACTAACTTCACCCAAATGTTTGTTATCATCAAATAGTTCATCATGGGTATAATGGGAATTTGGCAACGGTGTTTTGTCAGGAACATAATAGTTGATGACAATGATGAGGCAATACCAAGGGGAAACACCATAGTTTAAAGGGGATAAATTATATTTTACCTCTTTGAATTATTATCTTTATTTTACTTTGCACCCTTAATTATAAAATTCTTACATTTTATCTTAAAATATTAATTTTATTTTATATCACTCCAATAGATAACGACTGTTAATTTTTGACGGTAAATGCACATATGAGTGGTTTGTAACTTTGTATTGCTAATAAGCAACTGTCAATTACACATGTGTAGATCAAAAAATAAGAAAAATACTCATTCATGACTTTACCTTTCCTAAGCTCCAAATTTTTTTCTTCTGACCAACTTTTTTTTTCTTCCCAGCAACCATTTAGTTACAAAAGAGGTAAAATAAAATGGTACTATCTACTAAGCAGTTGGTGGTAAACTCTTTGGGATTTTTCTCCCTCATCTGATATATTTTCAAGTTTGCGGTTATTTATTAAAGTGGTATAAAATGAAATTGATGTTTTAGAGTTCAATGTTAGAAATTTTATAGTTGAGGGTGAAAAAAGTAAAATTAAAATAATAATTCAGGGAGCAAAGTGTAATTTACTCTTTCAAGGGTCAACGTATAACTTTCCCATAGATGAAGCTAGGTGGGAGAAGTGGGGTGGATAAGAAACAGACCCAAAATGTCGGCCATATTCCGGCAGTTGGTGAATCTGCCGGTTGGACCATCGGGAAAATCAATTCCATAGGGAGGAAAATTGGCTCTGGCCTGAGTCAAAAGGTCATTGTTGTTGCCATTATCCACCAGTGAGTCTCCAAAAATGAAGTAACAAGGGACTTGTGATTCTCCACAAATCAAAGGTTTCAAATTCAGAAACAACAACAGTACTGTGGAAACTATACACCAAACATTACACCCACATGCCATTGTTGAAGTCGAAGAAAAGAAAATAAGGAAAGGAAAGTAGGTGGAGAAGAGGAAGGAGAGGGAGGAAAATTTGTATGAGTAGAAAAGGAAATCCGAAGGAGGAAATATATATAGCCAGTGGAATGGAGGGTAGACAAGTTTGAACGATGATGGACTGGGAGCTGTTGAAGGGCCACTTCCTTTTTGCACAAATCAGTAGTTTCACATGGCATAAATATGTGTAAAAGGAAAAGTTGTGTTTCTTGGGTCCAATCAAATGGATTTAAATCCTCTATATTATATATTTTTTTAAGAGCAATAGTACGTAAACTTAAAAATTAGATTTAATAATTTCAACTATTGATTTTACTGTAAATTCCAGTATTTATTGAGATCCACTACCTATTTAATGGTTGAGATTATCAAGTCTAAATTTTAAGTCTAATTTTTAAATCCATCTAGCATTACTCTTTTTTTAATTTTACTCAATGATATTGGTAGATGGAGTGTAGCTAGGCAAGTCAACATATCAAGTTTATATTGGATTTTGACCGATCTGAATCTAAATTTAATTTTAAAAGTCTGATTCGATAATTCAATGAATTTTATTTTTGTGGTTTATATCCGATTCCATTAATTATCTGAAATTTGATCCGATCTAAATAACTTAATTAACTAAATTTTAACAAGTTATACCTAAATTCCTTTAAATAATCAATTAATTTGTTTAATTTTTATATAAAAATATATAAATAATTCGGACCAACTCATAATCGGATTGGATATAGGTATATTTAAATCCGAATCTGTGAAATATAATATATCGGATTCAAATTTAGATTTAAATTATCGATAAAAAAATTATCAATTTATATCCACCTGATCAAATTCAAATTCAGATCAGAATCCAATTTATTGACGGACTTAGCTGTTTGAGTGAGAGAGTATAAACTTTTAGATAAAAGGATGGTTTAGTACTTCTATATCTTGACAGTGAAGAAATGTGACGTGAGGGTTGGGTAAAGAAGGACAGTAACAAGGAAAAAAAACTCACTCGATTCCAAATATCGACATGAGGGGTCTTTTTTTAAGGATTGCAACCAAGGAAAAGTTGTGCTGATAGAGTTAACCACAGTCAAAGTGTCATGGCCAATCTTTAAAGGTTTTTTTTAGCATTGGAAGTGATAAAAATTAAATTCAAATTCGTTTTAATATATTTTTTCTTTAATTTTTTTTTTGGTAGGTAATCCACCATTAATGAGGGCAAGATCTATCTGTATATTATGAGTCTCTTTTGAATACATGATAAGTGATCTATTAATAAAGAAATTGAAGAATAAAGGCATTAGAAGGATCTCCCGCCATAAAAATCGAACCCTTGACCACATTTCGTAGCCATGTCAACACAAAACAATTACTTGTATTAATGGAGTAGGTTGAATTAAAAATATCATGGAGAATTTAGTTATGCTTTGGTAATATTTTTTAAATTATTTTTTTGGAAATTTTTTAAGGTTTTGTTTTTGCACAAGGAAGGTCAATAATATTCCTATAAAAAAACTTGGCGGACTCTCTAGTTTCTTAATTATTATTTTTCTCACTTGTTACTAGAGGTGTTTAAATTTTCGATAACTCATAAATTTTGATCTTATCTTACCCTATCTAACGTTACTGATCGGCTATCCGAAAAAATTGGATAGGCCAACGAAAGATTTTTTGATATTCCGCAAAAAATTGGATAGAAATGCAGAATACATATAAAATTTTTGTATTCCTACCCTACCTTACTGATTATATATATATGTTAATCCCTAAAAATTAAAATTCAAAAATCTAGAAACCTTAATATTTTATTGATGGTTATGATTTGTTGTGTTAGTTAATTGNTTGCAAAAAATTGGATAGAAATGCAGAATACATATAAAATTTTTGTATTCCTACTCTACCTTACTGATTATATATATATGTTAATCCCTAAAAATTAAAATTCAAAAATCTANGTCCGGACCAGCTTACGTGTACCTTGACTAATTCCCTCCCCGATTCGGTCAAAGACAGGTCATCCATGCCGGAACTAGAGTATTTATGAGGGATAAATCTTTAATGACTTGGTCCCAAGGGTTATCAAGATTCGGACTCAAAATGTCTGGGTTTGTAGCTCGTTTTTGTTATTACTTGAACTCTCTTTTGGGGTTATTAAAAAAAAGCGTATTTTACTACACCTATGAACNTAGAAACCTTAATATTTTATTGATGGTTATGATTTGTTGTGTTAGTTAATTGGTGCAGGTTACTTAATTAAATTGTTAAAATGATTCAAAAATTAATAACTAAGAAATATGTGTTCACCCGATTTTCTACCTAACTTCCTATCCGATTTTTTTGGACCGAATCGGATAAGAATAGTATATTTGATCAGGTAAGGTAGGCAAAAAAAAAAATTCTCCTACAAAATATTGAATAGCAAGATAAAATACTATAATTTCTANTCCGATTTTTTTGGACCGAATCGGATAAGAATAATATATTTGATCAGGTAAGGTAGGCAAAAAAAAAATTCTCCTACAAAATATTGAATAGCAAGATAAAATACTATAATTTCTACTCATAGGGTAGGATGAATACTCGTACTTATGACAAGTTTTGCCACAATGCTTCTTATTGCAGAAACTAAACTATCGGTTGACAACGAATTTTTTTAATCAATAAATTAATTTTGTCAAAATGGTGAAAAGCATATTTATCCAATATTTACAAAAAGTGATGTAATGCATCTTAATATATAACAATAATACACTTAGTTTTACATATAAATATACATATATTTAAAAAGAATGTAATAAATCTGGAAAAATAGGATAAAAAAGTAAAACAAATACTGTTCCAAAAAAATTTTAAAAATAAAAAACCCAAAAAAAAAAAACTATTTAAATTTGGTGCCAAGCTTTGGCTACATTAGTTTGAGTGGACATTATGCATTAAATGAATAAGCCATACTAGTGGAGTGATAGTGACAAAAAAAATCCAATGCTGGCTTTTTGCTATTTTGGGTTCATTTGAGCAGAAAATAAGGACAATAATATTGGAGAAGGATGAAATAATAATTCACTTCCCTTAGAGCTTGTGACTCTTCAAAATTTAATGGATAGGACTACTTTTGGAGTTATTTATTACTATACAGTTTTTTTAAAATAATGTTATCGGTTTACGACAGTTTTGAATTTATTTATTAATTATGTTATTTTTTAAAAATAATATTTTTAACAATAAAATAGAATTAATAATTCCACTTTTAATTTNATGTAGCTCATAGGACGTTAGGTCCATGGATGTAGGCAATTTTCCGAATCACTTAATCCTTTGTGTTTTGTTTTCTATCATTATTTATTTATTTTGTCATCAATCTCTCTTATATTCTAAAATTCTAAAGATCTCACTTTGTTCTAAAACCATACGTCTGACATGTTTTGAACGAAAAACGTCCAAAAGTTTTACTATAATACGCATTTCCAATATATATATTGAGGGTATGATAAATGTAAAAACAATAACCATATATAGTCAGGGATGCAATGCAAGAAAAGTGATAACTAAGGGAATAATATGAAACCAATAACAATATCGGGAGATGAAATTTTATAACTTGATAGTTGAGAGGATAAAAGTGTAATTTATCCTTAGAAAATGAGATAAAAACTCTTATACTACTGACCTTTAGCTGCTGTGAGTATTGTTTAACAAGTACTTTGGCATACTGCTTTGGTGTATATAGGCTGCTCGTTGGGTAAAACTGTGGCATGAAGTAGATGTTGAGATAGTCGTTATTGCCCATTCCAACTGTATATAAGCAGCTGCTTAGGTACTCTTTTGCTAAAGCTTTACTCCCTAGTAAGGTAGCAATGTGCCGAATTGTGATTTTATGATTTGATAACTGTGCATTCAAGCTTATCCGAGCACCCTGTGGGAAGACAACAGAGTCAAAGTTTGTGGGGGGTGTTGCAAGATTGGAGAATGGGTGTATGGTAACCCATACACATCTCATGTTGTTTGGTGAAGTGTGTATGAAGTTTTAATTGATACATGTTATTCAACAAGCATTAAAGCCTCGTTTGATTTTTAGCATCAAAAAAATTCATCGCTGAAAGTAAATAATTCATCAACAAATTTTGAAATATTTGACTACCAACAAAAATATCATCGCTAAAAATAGAGAATTAGCAACCAAAACTCAGCTGCAAAAAAATTCATCTGGTTGTCACCAAAACAACCTTCGTAGTTGAAAGAGTTTTGATTGTGGTCACATTTTCTTTTTTTGGTGATGAAATAGTTTTCATTGCTGAAAGCTAGTAAAAGTAAGGACAATTTAGAAGCTGGTATAATTTTTTAGATTTATTTAGGCAAAAGTACAACTCAAAAACTTATTTTGGGTAACGTGAATAGTTTTTTAAAATACTATTATTGTCATTGGTAACTAGTAAATATATGGAAACTCATATCTTTCATACGTTTTTTTGGCTAAAATCAAATGGGAGGTAAAATAGGGGGTTTAATTATCAAAACTCATCTTCTTCGACAGGGTGATTGGAATGCCAAAACTGTGACTGTTCATCGTTCAAAAAAAAGAGAAATATGAGTGACTGTTCATCATAAAAAAAAATGAGGAATTCGAGTTACTGTTCATCGTTCAAAAAAAAAAAAAGAATACGAGTTACTGTTCATCGTGTTCTATGGTCAAGTAACTTTGAATCATCTTTGACAACCTCTTCACCAGAAATTGCAGGTGACATTCATTTTTGTTTTTTTGTCATTCATTAATTTTTTTTTTTCCACAATTTGTGTTTTTTGATTAAAAATAGTTACATAACTGTTTTAAATAATTATTTGCGATCACAAATTGCAAACTGTTAATATTCAAAAATTAACGGTTGAAACTATATTGACACAGTTACACCAATTAAAAACACAGTTACATCCATTAAAAAATAGTTACACTCATTAAAACACAGTTACACCCATTAAAA